CGCGGGCGCGAGAGAACCGCGCTCCGCTCAGCCGGGCGGGGGCACGCGGCGCGCGTCCCGGGGGCGCCGCGGCGGGCCGGGCCTCCCGGCGCTGCCCCCGCGTGGCAGCCGGGCGGAGCCGCCCTCGCGGTCCTGCCACGCCCGCGGCCGGTGGTGACTCGCCGGGGCAGGAGGACGCGGGGCACGGCCCGCCTCCCGCCGCTTCGTGCCCCGTTCGTGCGCGGGCCCTTCTGCGCGGAGCGCGGTTCTCTCGCGCCCGCGGGGCCCGTGGCTGTTCGCTGAGAGTTCTCCGGAGCAGCCCTGCAGTCCTGCGTGTTTTACTCCGCAGCTTCACACGAGCGAACTAAACACGGGGCACGCGGGGGGCGGCCTGAACCTTCGGTCGGTAACGGAGCAGAGCGCGCTGGAGGAGTTCCTGGCTTCAGCAGAACTAGCAGGAACTGAATTTGTGGCGGGTGAGTGAAATGTAGGGCTGTCCTTGAACGGTCGCGTTCCAGATCCTGATTCTTGCATCCTTATTGACGGGTTCTGTTGTTCTGCAGAGAAACTGAATATCAAAGTCGTTCCTGCGGAGGCCCAGACTGGTCTGCTGACAGCAGAAGAAACGAAAATGATCCAAGATCTGCATGATCAGAACAAGCAATTCTTGTGCATCCCAAGAAGGTGGGTGTCTTATGCGTCAGGGTCTTGTTGATGCTTGCTGGTCTCTGTTTATGCCTGTGCCCCCTCGGTGTTGTTTAGGGTTTCGTACATCTGTAAGATTAGGTGCCGATGGGTTTCAGGGTGTTGCTAGGTCAGTGGTGGCACCCCATGCCCTTGGTCAGTTGTGTTCTCCATTACGTGTGTGGGAGGGAGGGAGGGAGGGAGGGACTGGTGAATGACAGTACTGAGCTTAGTGGTTGCAGTGGAGGCTTGTAACATTGGATACTTCTATTATTAATACAATTATTGCATGCATAAACTGCCCCTTTAGCTCATGGGTTTCTCTGGGTGGTAAACAATATAAAAAGGAATAAAGATATTAATGTACTGAATGTTTTCTCCCAAAGTTAACAGTTTAGATGCCAAAGATAGATAGATAGATACTCAACACAGAAGGAGGCTCGAAGCAAAGAGCATCACCTTTATTACAAAGCATGCCAGTTTACCATATCACTTTGACAGACAGTTGAAGAAGCTGGTGAGATTGAGCTTGGGCTGGCATTAGTATAAATAGCAAGCAGGCAAAGAGGAAGTGGCTGAGGTGAAACAGTATGGAATCCTAGAATTGTAGTAGAGTTGGAAGGGGCTAGGGAGCCATTGGGTCCAACTCCCTGTTCAGCGCAGGACACCAAGTTAAACCGTTCCTTTCTCATGGCTGTCCAGTTGCATCTTTGGAATGGGAGAGCCCACAGCCTTCCTAGGGGCTTGGTTTCACTGTTGTATTGCTCTGAGAGTCAGGAAGTTCTTCCTGATGTTCAGTTGGAACCTAGCTTGCTGTAACTTCAGCCCAATACGCCATGTTCTCTCTGGGTTGATCAAGAGACCCTGGCTCTCCTTAGTATGACAGCCTTTCAAGTAATTGGAAAGTGCTTTCACATCTCCCCTCGGTATTCTCTTCTTGAGGCTAAACATGCCTATTCTTTCAATCTCTCCTTCTAGGGCTTTGTTTCCAATCCCCTGATCATCTTTGCTGCCCCCCTGAGAACCCTTTTCAGCTTGTTTGCATCTTTCTTAAACTGTGATGCCTAGAACTGGACAAAGTATAGGCAGTCCCCAAATTATGAACATTCGAGTTATGAACAACCTGTACTTTTAAACGAACTGCCGTAAAGCCTACCAATTTAAAAAAATTATGGAGGAAATCGTCATTACCATAGTGAGCCGCCCTGAGGCTTCGGCAAATGGGGCGGCATAGAAGCTTCCTAGATAGATAGAGTGAGTGAGTGAGTGAGTGAGTGAGTGAGTGAGAAGAAACAAGAGAGGAGAGAGGGAGGGGCCTCCAAAGCATCACCATAGGGAGAGAGCAAGTGAAAGGGTGGAAAGGGAGCTTTTTGCAGAGCCCTGGCAAAAAATAATGAGCATGGAAAGGCAGAACGAACAACGGGGGAAGGCTGGACCTATCCCAGGCCAAGGCTGCTGCAACCCCAGCTCTCTCTCCCTGAAAAGAGACCCGGTTTTAGCTGAGGTTGGGTTATGACCAGAGTAAAGGGGGAATCTAGGACTCACCATTGGCAGATAATGAATTCAGTGTGCAAAACAGTGCAAGAAATCTGTGTAACAAATGGGTGAAGATTCCTAGTGAATGCTAACTAGTAATGTTACTGCAACCGGACTAGCCGATTTAGATAGAGCAATGTTGTTCTAAGTCTAAACACACTGAGTTGGCTCTCTGTTCAGCTCTGCACTCAGCTCGAGGTGCTGGCCCTCCCACGGGCCAAGGTGGGGCTCTTGGTTCAGGCAGCACTTTGGTCAGAGCGGCAGGTGGACACAGGCACAGAGATGCCCCTCTGCTCCGAAGGACCGGTTCCTGTGGGTGCCCCCGCTTTCTGCAGCTGCTTGGCTGCTGCTGGCTTCTGCGTGTGCCCAGCTGCCCTGGCTCTCGTCAGGGGAGACAGGGCTTGGGGCCATGTTGGTTGTCCCCTCTGGAGCTTTGGAATTTCCTGCTCCTGCATTTTAATCTCTGTCTGCACGTCCTTCACCTGCCTTCATGCTAGGTCTTAGTTTCTTGATCAGCATCTCCCTGGCCTGCTCCCCGGTTTGTTTTGCTTTGCTTTGCTTTGCTTTGCTTTGCTTTGCTTTGCTTTGCTTTGCTTTGGAGCAGAGCTCACTTGCCTTCATGTGGGATGTGCCTGCAGCATGTCTGCTTTCTGACCCCTTTTGTGCTGTCTTCTGTGGCGGGTTTCTTCAGGCCACACTGGGACCAGCGGACCAGCCCTGAAATGCTGGAACAGGCAGAAAGAGACAGCTTCTTGCAGTGGAGGCGGCAGCTTGCCCGGTGAGTGTTCCTCCTCTGCTGGGCTTGGGTGCACCTTTGAGGACTGCCGCTGAGCTTCCCCGATTAAGTAACTTGCATTCGAACACAAACCCTCTGGATTCTGCAGGATGAAGCCATGAAGCCGAGCACCCAGGATAGTCTGTTGTGTCCACACATTTTCGTGGGAGCCTCTGTGTCATTTTCTGACTGTCCTCAGGATTCCTCTCTGGAGCAGAAGCAACAGACAGTGATGGAGCCGGGCCCTTAGTGACACCCCTGAAGGGTCCAGGGGGTGTATCTGGCACTCTCGAATGCGGGGGTGGGTTTTGCAGACTTGCGGGGTGGCCCTGAACAATCACAACCCCTTCACGTTGCTGTGTGGGTCTGCAGTAAAGGCCATTGCAAGCGTGTCACAGGCTAAAAGCGTTCTGGGCTGAGATGCCACAGGGCTCAGTCCGTCAGCCCCCGCCCTCACAGGGGAGGGTCTGTGGCAGCAAACGAGCCGCTGCTGCTGATTTTGCTGGACGTGAGTAGCACGGCTCGGGGGTGGAAATAGTGGGAGGCCAGAGCCGGCTGAGCCTTCCTCCTCGAAAGAAATGTGCGAGGCTGGCCCCTTTGGGCCTGGCTAGTATCCCGCTAGTGGGCTTGTTTCAGACAAGCGCTTGCCAGGCCTCGGTATCTTGAACAAGGTCTCCCTTCCTCACCTGCTGCGGATAGAAAATCCACCCTCCGGAGCTGTGAGCCTTCCTGCATCGTCCGGCTGTGTGTCAGTTCAGCCATGGTTACCCATGCAAAGCAGCATCTTGAACGTTGCTAGTAAAACTTCCTTTTGGTGCCAGGCAAAAACTCTTATTTGTCCAATATTTTAATAGTTAAAAAGATTAAAAGTTTTCTTAAAATTTACTTTATCTATTTGGCATTTATTATATTCAATTGGTGCTATACCCATGAATTAACTTAAGTTGTGGCTGTTGGGCTTTTTTTTTTTTTTTTTTGGTTGTGTTTTTTGGTTGCTATTTTACTGCTAAATTTCTGTGTTTTATTGTATCTGTTGCCTGTTATGACTTTGTAAATTTCCCAGAGAGCTACTTTGACTAATGGGCAGCATAGAAAATCAATTAAATAAAAATAGACAGAACTGGTGTGAGGTGAGCTGATAAGGGAAAGGGGGTTCCGTGTTGGGGTGCGAGAGGTCCAGGCAGGGTCCCCGTGGAACTGCTCGCACAAGCTGAAACCCGGAGTGGCATTCTGGTTTTGGCCTCCTGCTGGATATCCCGCGATGTCCCCTCAATGCACTGACCCAGTCCGGCCCCCCACGAGTTCATTCTGTCCACCACTTACATTGTCGCCTTGGGTGCGTGAGAGGATCGTGGCTTGTTAACGGCCCGTGTTTTCTTCCTGTGCTGCTTCAAAGGCTGGAGGAAGACCAGAAACTCCTTCTGACCCCATTTGAACGAAATCTGGATTTTTGGCGTCAGCTGTGGCGAGTCCTTGAAAGAAGGTAGAGCTTGAAGGCAGCCCTGTGCCGGCAGCTGCTGCCAGGGGTGAGGCTGAGGGAGCCGCAGCGGCCGCCGCTGTGGCTCAGGGCCTGTGGCAACGAGCTCAGGCTGCTTCCAAGGCCACGGCGTGGCGGCTGCAAGGAATCCGTGACCTGCCAGGGCCCCCACAGGCTGGTGTGGGAAGGAGGCCCGGAGTGGGGCCCGTGAGTGGTAGCTGAGGCTGTCCCCGGGTGGACTGGCGGACGGCCGTGCCCCACTGGCCTGCCCGCCTCTCCACCGAGCCCTCCCAAGCTCCCCGCCAGGAGAGCAGCCTGGACGGCAAGTGCAGCAGCTTTTCTCTTGCAGTGACGTTGTGGTTCAGATAGTGGATGCCAGGAACCCCCTGCTCTTCAGGTGCCGAGATCTGGTAGGTGGCGCGCCCTGAGCCGGCCCCGCTTGTCCACCTGGGGCAGGACAAGAGACTGGTCGTGGGGCCTGCCGCAGCATCCCTCTTCCATGCCGGGCAGACCTGGGCGCTGTCCAGAGGAATTCCTCCTTGAGAAAAGTTATGATGATGTCACAGTGGGCAAATGTTTAACTTTTAGCAATATTCTACATTTTTACAAAAATACTCCAGGTTTTTTCTTTGTCATCTGTTACTGATTTGCCCTCCTTATTGAGAAGTTAAACCAGCATTTCCCTTCTCTGTTGCTTACTCTGAACATACCTAAAAAAAGGGTTGTGGATTTTGGTGTCCCTTGCTAGCCTGTGCTCTCCCTCCGCTTCAGCCTCCGCTTCAGCGAGGTCATTTCTGCACTTCTCTGCCACCTGCTGCGCCGTCTTCTGTCACTTGGCCTCCCTTCTGCTGCTTGTACCCGTCCTCTTTTGCTTTTAGCACAATTCAAAGTTTTTTCTGGAGCCACATTGCTTTCTTCAGTCACCTGCTTTGCTTTTGTTGGAATTATGCCTTAAATTCCTTTTTTTTTTTTTAATTGCCATCTACCTTGGACCCCTTTCTTCCTCAGGGTCACTTGCCATGGGACCTTACTTATCTTTGTTTTAAATCAATTTTTTGCTTCCTTTAAAATCAAGAAGACAAGTATGCTGTGGTCACTTCCCCCCAGAGTTCCTGAAGTTTCCACTTTATCCATTAAGTCCCTATTAGTATAAAGTCAAGGATCCTCTAGTTCTTTCCTCTCCTTTCTGTAGAAGAAAGGTATCCTCCATGCATGACCAGAATTTCTTCAAAGAGCCACAGATAGCGGGATAACTGAAGTCCCCCATTACAGTCACATCAGCGATGTGAAATATGGGTGAATTGCTTAAAAAGGGTGTCATCCTCGTGTTCTCCTTGACTGGCTGATCTGTCGTGGACTCCAAGCTGCACATTCCTTTCATTCCTTGACACACTGATTTCAACTCAGGTGCTCTTGATGAGATTATCCGGCTCAATTTCCTGTATTTCTGTGCAAGATCAGCACTTGGAACTTGCAACGCAATTCCGCCTCCTCTCCTGCTTCTTGTACTCTTTGAACACGTTGCGTCCTTCCATTGCTGTATCCCAGTCTTGGGAGTCCTCCCACCAAGTTTCAGTAATACCTATCAAGTCACACGTGCCTTCATGTATTGGAGATCAAGCTCATTCTGCTTGTTGCCCACACTCGGCGGTGCCTCCCCCTCCCCCTCCTCCCCCTCCGGGGGAGACACCCCTTTCAGTTGATGGGGCAGGTAGAGGATTCCCGGGGATGGTCTCTCACTGCGAGTTTCTGTGCAAACCGGGCAGCTTTACTTCTGGTTTGTCTTGTCTTCCCCTTGCAGGAGTGCTACGTGAAGGAACTCAGCCCGGAGAAGGAGAACCTTATCCTGCTGAACAAAGCTGACCTGCTGAGCGAGGAGCAGCGCTGCGCCTGGGCGCGGTTCTTCGAGGAGGACGGCGTCAGAGTGGTGTTCTGGTCAGCGCTGGCAGAGGGGAAGCGGCTGGCTGCCGATTCCAAGGTAGGCCAAGGACGGACTCATCGGTTCGGGCAGGACTGGTGGCGGTGGCTCTCTCGGGGACGCTTGCCCATTGGCGGTGAATTTGTCTGCAGCTCCTTTGCCCAGGCGCTTTCCACAGAAATACTTTGAGTGTCACACCCTTTCGGTTCAAGAGAGGAGTCGCAGCTCTGATGGATGTACCTGTGCTCCAAAGACTGTCGGCGTTGTGCTAAGTTAGCCTCCGTGCCCTGTGGGAAGTCCCCCTGCCAGGCACATTCACACTGCGCCTTGGCCCCAGCCGGCAAGGAGGACGGCCTGGCCGAAGGGCCAAGCAGCATCTGGGGCCAGCGCTCCCTGTGCAGCTTTGCAGAGTCGGGCCTTGCTGCCCAGGCATGTGTCGTGGGAGCGTGGCCCACTGTGCCGTTCTGAGATTCTGTGGCGGCCATGCACCTCGGCGCTCCCTGCAGCAGCGGCTTTCCTCGGAGATGTGATGTGCGCCCTCCTTCCTTCCCCAGGGGCCCGCAGTGGAGGCGCTGCCGGGCCTGGGTGACGAGCGGCACGCCTCGCACCGTGGCAGCCTGGGAAGCACGGCCGAGTCCCACTCGGGGAGTGAGGATCAGGAGAGCAGCCAGGAGGGGGACAGCGACGTCTACGAGGACTGTGCGGAGGAGGAGGAGGAGGAGGAGGCCTGGCTGACCTGCTCCGAAGAGGAGGGGCACTGCGCGCCCCCTCGGGCTGGTCCCTCGGAGGACGTCCGAGCGGATGGTGCCGAGAGCCAGAGGCTGGGGCCCTGTGGGAAGCAGCCTGTCAGGAACAGCGGCCACCTGGTCCAGAGGGATGAGCTCCTGGAGATCTTCAAGGCGCTTCACGCGGGGAAGACCGTCAGAGAGGGCGCGGTCACTGTCGGGCTGGTGAGTGGGTGGGCCGCGGGCTGCTGTCCTGGGCGCTGCTGGCCGTAGCCCCCAGCGCCCCCTTTGCCTGAGCCTCGCTGGCAGCCGGGGGCAATGGGCAGAGTGGCCGGCCAGCACCCCGGCAGGGTTTCGTTCAGGCAGGCAGGGGGCCGGGAAGGAACCGGACTTCCCCTGCATCACGCCTTGGCACAGGCGCCCCAGGACCTGGCTCAGTCGTGTCGCCGCCATGTGGATCTGGGCTTGCCTTTGAACCCCCTGGGTCAGATGTCGGGTAGTGAAGCCCCCCTCGAGCACACACCTGCGGTTTAGTCCTTGCTCCCGAGTCACGGTGGCCGGGGCAGCTGGGAGGGGTGATTCCCGACCAGGAACGAGGAGACGGGCAGACCGTAGGCCATCTCTGAAAGTCCTGCCAGTAGTTCCGGGGGTGGCCGGGGAGCCCATCCGGAGGCCCTCTGCCACGCACCTCTGGCCTTCCGGGCTCTTGGCTCCAGCCCCTCTGCCCCTTCCTGCAGGGGCGTGGGGCACCTTTGGGTCTTCCCTGAGCTGTCCGGGAGGCGCTTTGCCTCCTTGGACGGTGCTCTGCCTTGCCTTCCCTCCTTGCCAGCCCTGCTCTTTCTCCCCCAGGGCTTGGGGTCAGTGCAGCACAAAGCCCCACGCGGAAGCTGGGCAGCCCTTGGTGCTCCTCCCACAGGATGCGGGTGGTGTGCTTTCGCTAGCCCCCTCCACCGTTGTGGCCCCTTCTGCCAGCAGCTTGCTTTGCCTCCCTTTCCAGGTGGGCTACCCCAACGTTGGCAAGAGCTCCACAATCAACACCATCCTCGGAAAGAAAAGGGTGCCGGTGTCTGCCACGCCGGGCCGCACGAAGCATTTCCAGGTACTGCCGGGAGTGGCTGGAGGGCTGCCGCACAGGCGGCGGAGGGCGCCTCGCTTTCTGCCCAGTGGGCCCCCCCGGCAGGCCGAAGTGCCATCTCGCCCGGTCTCTCATTTGGTGCCTGGGGGCTGAAAGAGAGCCCTCTTGTTTCCCCTTAGAAAGGGCAAAAGGGGCGGGTGGAAGAGAGCCGGGTGGAACAGCACGCTGCCCGGGGCACCCTGGCGAACGGGAATGGGAGGTATTTGCCACCCTCTGCAGGGTTGTGGGGCTGCACACAGCGGAGCCTCTCTGGGCCGCCCACTGCTCCCCTCGCGCCCCACTCGGCCTGCAGAGGCAGCTCTGGCTGGGGGCCGGCGGAGCGGCCTGGGAGGGGCCGGGGTTGAGCCCTGCCTGTTCCTGCCCCAGACGCTGCACGTGGCGCCCACTCTCTGCCTCTGCGACTGCCCCGGCCTGGTGATGCCCTCCTTCGTCTTCACAAAGGCCGAGATGATCTGCAGCGGGGTCTTGCCCATCGACCAGATGCGGGACCACGTGCCCCCCGTCTCCCTCATATCCTTTCTGCCGACATGCCCGGCTGCCTCGATGTGGGGCACGTGAAACCCACCGCTCCCCTCTGACTCACGCCCTGTCTTGGGGTTCTCGTACCTTGAGTCGATCATTCTGTGTTCTGGGACGCCTGCAAGGATGATGTGGAGGGCCGAGGGTGCACTGGTCTCACGGGGGGTCCACCCTGCAGACCGCCCCCTCCCCGCGGTGCCTTTCCTTCACTCGCTCACGTCTGCCAGCGCATCCCGCGGCCCGTCCTGGAGGCCACCTACGGGATCAGCCTCATCCAGCCACGAGAAGACGAGCCGCCCGACCGCCAGCCGACGTCGGAGGAGCTGCTCACCGCGTACGGATGTGAGTGGCGCAGGGCGGTGGCGTGCGGGCGCGGCCTGGTGCGGCTGCGTGGCCGTCCGTGCGTGCGGCACCGCTCTCCCTCCCCGTGACCTAGTGCACGTCTGGCTGCGTGCGCCTGCCGGGCCCCTCGCTCCCCCGGGGAGGCCCGCCGGGTTCCCGAGGTCAGAGGGGCCTGTGGGTGTGCTCCTCGTGCCCCCTTAGCCCGCGGGACCCCCACCCCGCAGAGCGCTCCACTCCCTGAGCTGGTCTCGCTTCTTTTCACAGCAGCTTGCTTAGGGACCCCCCGCTCTGTTTCCCCTCTTCCTCCCACCCTGCACAGACGCCAGAGGTTTCATGACGGACCACGGACAGCCGGACCAGCCGCGCTCGGCCCGCTACGTGCTGAAGGACTACGTCGCGGTACGTCGAGCGGCTCCTGGCTCGGGGGGCTTCGGGACTGGGGCCGGGGCGCGAGGGACACCTGGGACGGAGCACGCGTGGGAGAATGTGGGAGAGAGGACTGAGGGAACTGGTGGTCGGATTCTGGGGTGGTCGAAAGCGAGGGGCAGTTTGGAAAGTAGCTGCTGCTCTTTCCCCCTCAAATGCTCTCCTGTAATATTCCAGAACTACAGTCTCGTGTGGAGATTTTAGAGCTGAGAATGGACTGGATTCCTTTATCTGAGGAGGGGCAGGAGCGGCGCTCCAGTGGCTTGGAGCTCGGCTCCCAGAAACCTCCCCATCATGGCTGGAGGTCAGGAATGCAGGGAGCAGACGTCCAGGCCCCCGGAGAGCCCCTTCCCGCCCTGCAGCCTTCAGACTCCCCTCCTTGCCTGCCGGCCTCCAGCGCTCTGTTGGGGAGACGTACAATGCAGGCACTTAATGCAGGGCGAGCACCGTTAGTGCTGTCAGCAGCATTCGTGTCCCTGCCCTTGCGAAAGGAGGCTTGGAACAATGCTCAGGGTCAGGCGGGGAGCCCGGGGGGGGCGTTGAACGCAGCCCCTTTGAACCCCTCCCCGGTCCCTCGCAGGGCAAGCTGCTGTATTGCCACCCGCCCCCTGGGGCTGACCCCCAGGCCTTCCAGCAGTGGCAGGAGAGGCCTACAGCACGGGAGGCCGCACGGCGGGAAGCCCGAGCACACCCTGGCGGGAAGCCCAGGCCGGAGAGGATCGAGAACTCGGTGGATGCCGCCTTTTTCCACCAGGTGAGGGCTCGGGAGACTCTGCAGCGGTGACATGCAGCTCCCCTCGTAGAGTGACAGCCTCTGTGGCGAGGTGTCTCTTCGGCAGGCAGTGGGCACACAACTCGGCCTGCCCAGAGCATCTCCCTGCTCTCCTTCCCTGCGCTCCTGTGCCTCTCGCGCCGGCCCTTCTCTCCCACCCGCTGAACAGCCTCGGGCAGCTTGCAGTGGCTGGCTCTGTGGGGAGTCACGTCTTGCAAGGTCTCCCCTGATCTGCGCCAGCACGGAGAAGCGAGGTGCCGGGGCGCCTCCATCAGGGCAGCCTCGGTCAGGCCTTTCCGATACTCCTCAGATGGCGACCGGGGCATCAGGAGGGCCCAGGGCACACACGGCTTCTCTTGAGTGCCGTGGGCTGAACAAGAAGCCCCGCTGAAAGTGTCAGGCGGGCGGTGGGGGGGGGGGTGAGAAGCCGCCCCTGGGCAACGGCGGCTCCTTCCTAGGCAAGGCGGGCAGATTTGGCTGTCCTCCCGCGGCGTGAGCCGTGCCCGCCCCTTGGTGGGGCAGGCGCTGCTGGGAATGCGACCCACAGGTTGCGTCTCCTGCTCAGTGTAGCTGTGTCAGCGCTTAAGCTAGCCTTGGAGGAGAAGCTGGGCCCCTGTGCCGTGCGGACAGCCCATTCGGGGCATGTGCTCTGCTCCGCTCCGCTCCGAAAAGGGGCGTGGGGCACGTGCTTTGCCTGGGCGCGGTCCCCGAGTGGCGCCCCGTCTGCAGCGGGGATGTTCTCGGGTGCGGCTGCGAACGGGGAAGGCCCTCTGGGGCCTGCGAGCGGCTGGGAGCTGCCCCGGGCCTGGTTTCCAGGTGGTGCACAGGCAGGCCTGGCTGCAGCCTCCGCAAAGCGCCCTCGGCAGGGGTGGGGGCTGCACTTTTCTGGGCCTGGGAGCCAGAGGGGTCTTGCCCCACCAGTGTGCTCTGCCCCAGCCCAGCCAGAGGCCCCGCTTTGGATCCCTCCGGGCCTCGCCGCCTGCGCTGGATTGTGTCTCAAGTCTCCTGTGCACCTGTCCTCCGTTCCAGGAGAACATCCGTGCCCTGACTAGAGGCAGCCGGTCTGTGCTGGGCCACAGTGCGTGCCCCAGCCACCAGCTGCCCTCCTCCCCTGCGCTCAGCTTGGAGGGCAGCCCCGGAAAGCCCTGGAAGAAGCACGGCAACCGGAACAAGAAGGAGAAGATGCGCCGCGTCGCCAGGCACTTGCAGGCCTGAGTGGGGCTGCCCCCGGGCTTCTGTGGTGCCCCTCGGGTGGGTGGGTGGGGGGCAGAGGCCCCTCGCCCGAGGCCCCTGCTGCGGCTGAGCCCGGCGGCCCTCCTCGCTCACGCCAGAGTCCTCGGGCAGGGCCTTGCGGTGGCTCTCGGCTGGCCTGTGGAGGGGCTTCTGCACGTTCCCGCCCGAGCCCGCCAACTGCTGCACCGTCACTTGGAAGGAGCGTGTGGAAATAAAGTTTTCTTACATTTCTAATGTTGCCTTTCCGTAAACGCTGTAGCCAAAGCACGTCCTGTGCCCAGAGTGTTTTTCCCACTCGCAGAACCTTCTGTCCCACCGGAGCACTTCTGTGGCTGAGATGTGCTGAGCTTCTAGCAGTTGGCCCCATTTCCCGGGGTCTCCCCTTGCTAAAGGGGTTTTCCCCCAACAATTCCCGAAACCTTAGTTGCTCCAGAAGTGTCTAAACCTTCCAGTCCTCCCAGCTCTGGCTGGCCTCCGTTGCAGTAGCCATTCGGTCACGGGGGGGGGGCAGGGGCCATCCTATGCAGCTGGCTGCTGGGAGATCCAGGACTGATCCAAGGAGCACCTTCTTCACGGTGCAGCGCTGGACTTCGGAATTTCCTGCTGCTGCAGGATGCAAGGATGGCTGCGAGCTTGGTGGCTTTAAAGGGGGCTGCACAGATTTGCAGAGGAAGGGGCTGGACGTGGTGCCTGCAAGCTGTGCTTTCAGCAGGACAGCTCATGTTGGCTAAAGCAGGAAAAGAAGACAAGCAAGGGATGCTAAAAATGGGAACGCCGCTGTCAGATCCAAAACACATGTGAAACAGAAGGGCTGTCCAGCTACTTAAAGGGGATGGCAGACAAGAAAAAGGCAGAGGCGCTCCATTTCTACTTTGCCTCAGTCTTCACCCACAAGACATAAAAACAGCGCGAGTCAGAAGGGGCCTCCTGGGCCATCTAGTCTGACCTCCAGCACCAGTTGGCTCCGCTCACGACATGCCCACCATGTGGACGTCTAGTCTATCCTTGAACACCTGCACCGAGGGACCTCAACGACCTCTCGTGGGAGCCCATTCCACACCCTTGGGGTCCTGACTGTCAGGAAGTGCTTCCTGGCATCCAAATGGAACCTTGGCTCCCTGAGCTTGGCTCTGTTGGAGCACGTCCTGCCTTCCTCTGCACGGGAGAACAGGTCTCTACCCACCTCCGTGTGACACCCCCTCACATACCTGTATGTCGCCAACAGATCCCCTCTGAGCCACCTCTTCTCCAGGCTGAAGAGAACCAGTTCCCTCAGTCTCGCCTCATACGGCCTCCCCTGCAAACTGGCCACCAACATTGTGGCCCTTCGCTGCACTGACTCCAACCTGGCTCTATCTTTTCTGTAATGGGGTGCCCAAAACTGAGCACAATACTCCAGTTGCAGGCGCACCAGAGTCGTATAGAGTGGTAGTAATATCTCTCTTGATCTAGAAGCCACACTTCTGGCTATGCAACCAAGGGTGGCGTTCGCCCTCTTGACCACCGCATCACACGGTTGGCTCATGTTCAGACTGCAAACACCTTGAAAGCAATGCAGGGATTACTAGAAGTCAGCATGGATGTCTCAAGAACACATCGTGCCGGGCTAATCCTATTTCAGTTTCTGATTGGTCACCTCCCTGGTGGACTGTGGGCCTGCTGAGGACATAATCTCTCTTGACTTCAGCAAAGCTTTTGACCAAGCGCCCCAGGGTGTCCTGATTAGCAAATGAACTCCAAGGGGGCCAGTGGAGCCGCGACCAGGTGCAGCCACGGCTGGCTGCAGAACGGGACTCGGAGAGAGCTCCTCGGGACGCCTTCTCAGATGGGGGGGGAGGCAGTGAGGGGGGACCCACAGGGCTCAGTCCGGGGCTCATTCATCCTGTGGAGGAGGATGTGCGGGGCACAATGACCAAATGTGCAGATGACGCAGAACTGGGTGGGGTAGCTAAGACCCCGGAAGACAGAAACAAGATTCGGGGTGACCTTGATAGGTTGGTGCACTGGACTGAGAAGAACAGAATGGAATTTAACCGGGACAAAGGCAAATTCCTGCAC